TACTTTAACCTGTATTACAGGAAATAATCTTAATCCTGACTGCTACTTTCCTTTTTTTCTCAAATAAGTCTTCATATATTGATTTAATATATGTGAATCTAAATAGAATATTCATTCTTATTGCTATGATTAGCAGATGGTTTGAATAAGCAATATTTGAGTATATCAATTCTTACTCCCTAGAAAAAATGATATTTCTTTTGCTTATAATGTCATTAAAAATCTACTCCACTAAGCAGTGCTTTATGAAAAGAAAGATAAACTTTTGAATATAGTCATGAATATTATGGTGATTTAAAATAAATCTTCCATGTTTTAATATCTTAGAATTTTAGAAAATGGTTAGCTCTTTCTTAAGAAAAGGGGAGTAGCAATAGAACTATTTTACAATTCATGTAAAATTTTCAGAGCTGATGTATTGTCCTTGCAAAAAAACTATTTCATGCTGGAGAGAAACAAATCTCTTTGGTTCTTTGCACACATGAGGATTACTTTGAGTTAACAGAAATGTACTTATTGTTACAACAGAAACTGAACACATTGAAATACACATCTTAAAGTGTGTGTATCATTTGGGGAACAATTTATAAGTGTACTAGAATTTTGAAAATCTGTAAAAATTACCCAAACACCTTATTTAATATAATTTTAAGACTTACTATTATGTTAAAAATAGTTTATTATTTAACTCATGAAATAAACTACATAAAAAGAATTTTCAAAACAAATATCCCTTCTGTGGGTAGTTAATTATATCATTCTTCTCTAGCTAAAAAAAATTCATAGAATTAATCATCTCATAATATCACTTCATCATCTCAGTGAAGTTTAAATGAAAATAATGGTAAATACAGACTTTTTGAGTATTTGATTATCACTTCTGAAAGTAAATCCCTCACACCAGTGTATGGCTATCTTGTCTGATTGTAAGTAATTTACATTTCCCTTTAGATTTAAAATAGAAATGCAGTATTCCACACAAGTCATTCTTAACCTTATATGGAGACAATTTAGTTGGAAGAAAATAAAATACGTAATACTCTGCATAAAAATATGGCACTATTAGCTAATTTGTAAGTCCACAGGAATCTGCAGTGAAAAATAGACATGTTTTACTGAAAATATTCACTACAGGAAAATGTGCTGGTGAGTGTCTAGATCACCTGACCAAAGGATTTAGTATTTTCTTTAAATATTCAAAACCATGTCACTGACCTCACTTATTATTTATTGGATCCCATTAAAGAGTTTTCCAAGATTGTTAATCATTGAAGCAAGGTATAGAAAAGTCAATACTCTTACCAAGCCTTTATTCAAACTCTTCAGTAGAAATCAAATGTTTATGTTAATAATGCTTAAAATTTTGGAAAAAAATGAAGAATAATTGATCACTCAATGACTATGAGAAATATTACAATAATATGTCTTACCCACAAAGGGAAAAAGAAGATATTTTATTAAAAACCTTATAAATAATAACTGCTGAATAGTGTAGTATTTGATAAGATCTTGTTTTTTCATTAATTTTTTCTGAATGCAAACTATCCTTTACTCTCTTTATGAAGAAAGTCTAATATATTTGTATCTATCAGAGAACAATGATCATGCTAAGTCTTCTTACTTATTTACTTAATTATTCAAATGTTGACTTAGGGATTTTCTCCTTTACTGAGTTTCTCTTCAGAAATTGTTTGAGGAGGGTGCATACTGGATGCAAAAAAAATGCTTATTTTATTCTTATTATGTGTTATTTTTATCATTATCAATCTACAATAATATTTTCCTAAAGGAAAAGAAGCCTATATTTTAAGTTAGTTTGACTATCACAGTCCTCTACTCACAAGGATGTGTAACAACTGATTTTAATAGATTAATTTTTTCATTATAGATTTTTTTAGTCATGACATTAATATTTTATAATGGGGTAAATTTCTAAAATCATGTCATTATACAAAACCTGTCATTAAACTTCAAAACATTTAAGTAGGTTTAGGTATAAGGTATCATTATAGCTGGAGGCAAAGAAATAGATGAGTATTTATAATTCACATTTATATATAAATTCCCTTCCACTAATGCAAATGAAACACACGTAAGTCAATTTTGTTATCTCTGAGGGTTCATTATATAGTCTGATGCCTGATTCAAGTAATGTTGAAAATATAATACCTTTTGGAGGACTGCTTGTTGAGAACATAACAAATATTAAAATATCCTTAGAATTGCATCATTACTCAGAAAACCATTGTTTTCTCTAAATGATGATGTAATATGGTACCATTTTGGGAGGATACGTTGTGATTATCCCAAGGGAATAAAACGAAGATAAACCTCACGGTTTCTGATTGTCACATGCACCATAAAATTTTATCCAATGTTAGAATCGTTAAAACAGTCATTAAATTCATCACATTTACTGTAAATATTTTCAATGAAATTTTATATTACTTTCTAATAGCTAATTAAATCACATAGATTTTCTTCTATCCAAATTCAATAGTTCCTAGTACAATTCGTCACCTTTATAGCTAGATAACATTGCTTTACTTTTTCTTATTGAATCCTTGTATTGATTATTTAGATTCATGAATTACAAAATGTCATTTATCAGTACAATGTATTGATCTAATTTACCTTCTTTAGGAATATCACATTATATATCAAGCAGAACCTTATTTCACCCATAAGAGGTACAAGAAGTAGTATTAGTATTTACCGATATGGCCAGGATCATTATTCAGAGTTTTCACTGGCTATTATAAAAATAACCTACTACTCATACTTATTTTCATTTTTCTCCCATGATTGTACCATCAACAATGCAATATTTTGAATCAAAATTCTATGCAAACATATTCAGTGAATATCTTCTCTGATGCAGGATAAACTTTATACCACCAAGACTAACATCTCCACGCATTGCTTCAAACTTCAACTCCTGGTGTGAAGTGTAGGATAGGAGTTGAGAGATTAGAATGTGTGTATTACTAAACAAGCTAAAACAATAACTAAAATAACTGAAATATTTTCACAGAATTTCACACTTGGAAATATATTGTAGTTGGACTATTTTTTTTCAAAATACCCTAGAATGCTGGGTGCTTCACTTTTTATTCACATTATTATTTCTGTCCATTACCCTTTTCTTATCTCCAAAAGTTTAAATCCACTCATCCTGAAGTCTTCTTCACTTGCTACCATGTTCACAAACTCTCCTTTGGTTCACAAAGAGAGTATTCTCTACTCAGTTAAAATTTTGTACAGATGTTCCCATGCCATATAGTCCCTTCTGTCTTGCAAGTAAGGCTTTCCACAGAAAATATAGAATTGCATAATTAGTCTAACATACATTTGATGTATGTGATATGGTACCATTTTGGGAGGATAGTTTGTGATTATCCCAAGGGAAAAAGAAACAAGATAAACCTCACGGTTTCTGATTGTCACATGAACCATAAAATTTTATCCAATGTTAGAATCGTTAGAAGTCATTAAATTCATCACATTTACTGTAAATATTTTCAATAAAATTTCACATTACTTTTGAATAGCTAATTAAATCACATAGTTTTTCTTATTTATTTCTTAACTCCTCTGTGTTTTTGTTTCTCCATATAAACATCGAATAAAAATGCTTCTTTCTTTTGGAACATATTTTGATATTACAACGCCCTTCTAGACAATCAGAAGTTAACTGAATCATGCTGTCTTGCATTCTGCCTTGTAATCTAAAGTGAAAATTCAATTTAATTAAATTCTAAGGTCATACTGATATCTTGTTTTAAATGGTTTTAATCCTCAACTACTCATGTATTATTTCTACATATCAAATATTACATAGAACTTGATACAATATTTAGTATAAACTTTTCACATATTATGAAAATGATTAGCATCATCATGTACTAGGATTTATAGTACTCTATCTGAGTAACTTCTTTGATTATCACATAGCAAATGGATGGCAAAGTGGCAGAAAAGTGACTGCAAATTTGCTTTTTTACACCAAGTATATTTCTTACTTCCTTTCCTGTTGGAAAGATAGATACATATACATGAAATGGTACTTTAAAATGTTCATGGAAAATTGAATTGAAGGATAAGTTTATTTTTGTGTAATCTTTATGAAATCCATAGACCGCATTTTCATCATATATATTTTACCTAAACTTTTTGAAGACTCTCGTGGATTTCAAACATTTTTTGCACAAAAGTAAACATATTTTAAATCTACTTTCCTTGAATGTTTTGAAGTGTGTGCATGTGTGTGCGTGTACATATTTATTTCATACTGGTTTCAGTTGCTAAATTGAATTGACTATTGTTTAACAGCATTTTTTACGATTTTCCAATACTGACTATTTAATTTACTTCCCCCTCCACCTTTCTCTCACAACACAGATTCTGAATTTTTTTTCCATTTTTGTTTGCTTTCTTAATATTTTCCCTCTTAATTATTTCTAAATAATAACACATTAGGCAATTTACGTTAGACAAATAATTGCTAAAACATATTTTTTTTCAATTTTAAGGCAAATGTAAGCAACTCAAGCATGTCTAGATTATGCCAGAGTACCTTAACATAAATATATTTTTATTCTAACAAAAGAGGGATTCTAAAGAGCAGCATCTCTTCCAACACATGCAAGCTACCATCGGTAAATCCAATTATTTTTCCCCAAAAAAGAAATTCACTCTGTAAATAACTAAGTTGTTTTTCTCCCACCATTGTGAAATTTGGCTATCAGGTGACAGCTTGTCAACTGTAGTTCCTACTCTAAAATGACTAAAATCACATGCTAGAATCAGTGAAAAACTGCTGATATGCATGGTTATCAAATATTTACATCTGCTCATTTTAAAACTAATAAACGCTCTCAACTTTGCCATTTACTATTTAGAAACAGCTTGTTCTCTGCGAGATCATGCAAACATCCCACATTGTATAAAGCAACAGGAAAAAGAACAAAGAGAAATTAGAGAGTGAATCTTGTACTCACGGAATGCTCTATAAAATTCTTCAAGAGCCATGTGCTTGTCAGCATTAAAATCATCAAATTTCAGTAGATCATACAAAGTACAATCAGAAGGGTCCTTCCCAAGTTCATCTCGCTTTATCACCTGACAATGAAAACATAGCCAGACCTTTATATCTGCGTCTTAACATTTCTATAATGTAGTTAACTATATGCCATAAGCACATGAAAGTTAATTTTATATTTGAAGCTGGGTAAGGCAATCAATATATGAAAACATGCAGGTTTTCAGTTAATTAATAAGTATTTCTGACCTTTTCAAAGGTGTAAAGTTATAACATTCTTAGAATTTAGCCCAGACTTTCTAACACGGAAGTCTCACATCTGCACCCAACAATTTTGAACATAAAAAGAACATCTGGAGTTTCATTCTTTACTTTGCTCTGTTTATGGTGAGTGAAGGAAACAGGTCCACATGAAAACTGCTTCCTGCATCTCAGTGACCTCTGTCAAAATAAAACAGTGCTCTTTCCCCACAAAAATAGCAAGGCAGCTTGTTCCATCCTTCTTCCTCATATTAGTTGAAAAAAAAATGCAGTTAGAATTTTCCTCTGTGCCTAAACTCTTCAGCAGCTGGAAGTCAAGTCATTTGGGAATGTGCATGACTCCCTTGGTCACAAAAGAGTCATTAAGCAAATGACTGTTTCAGAGAGCCGGATAGAATTAATGCACCGATTGATGATGCAAACCCACCCAAGCGTGTTAAGAAAACCATCAAACTGCTTTTCTACTCTGGACTCAGTCCTCTGGACTGAGGCTGTCTCTATTTTATACTCTACTGATTCTAACTATTGTCTGTCACATAACAGAGCTCCCTGAGATTTTTTGGACATTTTTATTCATTGTGGGTGAATGCTTAGTTGTTTTCACAGAGTTGCAATCTTTCATAAATTCTTACACACAGAGTAGGAATTCACGTTGCTTGGAGCTGTGTATCACATGTCTTGTTTTGTTTTAAGGTGGTGCAGTGCGAGAGAAATCAGTCTCTCACAGAAAGACAAACACTGTATATTCTCCCTCATACCCAGGAGCTAAAACTAACAAACAAACCTCAGTCTGATCAGAGTGTTGATTATAGAGAGAAATTAGATGAAAACATAGGGGAAGCTGAGTGGAATTCATTAATTGTGAAAGATATACAAATGAGAAATGTTAATGGGGAAAATTGATTGCTTCAGAAATTTGAAACTATTCTGAAATAAGATGCTTAAAAGTTGAGGGGAGGGCAAAAAGGAGAGAAACCACTGTCTCTGGCCAATCATTTAACCTTTCCACAGTTAGAAAATGGATATGAAAATTAGCGCACACACACACACACACACCAGGTGTAAGACTCAACACAGTATTTACTTAAAAGTGATCCATTAAAGATAAGAATACTAATATTTTGGGGGGCCAGTGCTGTGGCACAGTGGGTTAAGCACCGGCATCCCATATGGGCGCCAGTTCGAGTCCTGGCTGCTCCACTTCCTGTCCACCTCTCTCCTATGGCCAAGGAAAGCAGTAGATGGCCCAAGTCATTGGGCCCCTGCACCCATGTGGGAGACTGGGAAGAAGCTCCTGGCTCCTGGCTTCGTATCCGCACAACTGCAGCCATTTGGGGAGTAAACCATCGGATGCAGGACCTCTCTCTCTCTCTCTCTCTCTCTCTCTGTATATCTTCCTCTCCCCTCCTCTCCTCTCTCTGTGTAACTCTGACTTTCAAATAAATAAATCTTTAAAAAAAAGAATACTATTATTTTAAAGACTTATTTATTTTATTTGAAAGCCAGAGTTAGAGAGAGAGACTGAGTAAGTGAGTGAGAGAAAGAGAGAACAAGTGGGGGAGACAGAGGCCTTCCAACTATTGGTTCACTCCCCAAATGGCCACAATGGCTTGGGCTGGGCCAGGCTGAAGCCAAGATCCAGGAGCTTGAATGGGATTTCCAATGTGCATTGTAGGGACCCAAGACCTTTGGTCATCTTCCACTGCTTTCCCAGGCACATGTGCAGGGAGCTGGATTGGAAGTAGCCAGGTGGAACTCTAAACAGCATCCAATGAGAGAGATGTGGGAGTCAAAGGTGAAAGCTTACCCTGCTATACCACCATGCCAGCCCCAAGAATAATAATAATTGATAGAATGTGTTTCTTCCTCAAATAATTCACTTAAGATGCTGAGACACCAGCTTGTGCATGCTACTGTTCTGTAGTCACAATGGATTACACTCTTTCTTTCATTAGAACAGTGTTTCAGACTCCCTCTATTATATCAATGGCAGATTACTACTGTTGTTAGTCTCTAAAGATCGTTAGATGCTCTTAGCTAGACTTTTAGCCTTCTTTGGTAGTTTGATTATGTCTGGCTGTAGATGGACTGTTGAGAGAGCACTGGAGATGGGGCTTAGCAAGTGGGTCTCTAGGGCCTCCAATATCCTTTCCTGCTAGGTCAGCAGTTATTGGCAAGGCCAGCTACAAAGATATTCTGCTAAACAGAGCTTCCATAATATAGTGAGTTCTCTGTTCTTGTGCATAGTATTAAATTTTATTGGTTAAGCTGATACGTGTCACTTTAGAGGAGAAAAAAGCCAGCAGGCTTATTTGGATTAACTGCTCCATATAAATAGATATTGTAGATGGCAAATATTAAGCCCCATACTTTTGCACAGGCCAGCTGGAGGGATTAACAAATTCATGTAAGGGCTGACGCCATCTCTTCTAAAAGCCTAATGGGAAAACAAAATACGGCTTTTGTATTTAGGAAGGAACAGAGCTCTCAGTCATTCTCCATCTGTTATGGGTAAGAGCATGTAAAATGACTTTTCCTGGGGGCTGGAAATGGGAAGTGTGCGGGTGATATTATCTCACTATGTTCTCCTTAAAGATGCGCAATGTTGGAATTGTACTGTTTAGATGCAAGAACAGCAAGGTCTGGTCAGGTATTTTAGTACTATTCTTGGTGGCTTTTATTATCATATTTATTTGTAAGCAGAAATGAGGACACAGTTGGGTAAAACTGCTCTCATTTTCCGTCTAATACATATTTCTATCTTTTTTATTCAAATTAAACTCTTGTATTAGACTAAGAGAACAGATTTCCACCCTTTGCTGATTGAGCACCCTTAATAAGATGTGATTTTGATTTTATCTTGATCTTGATTCAGTCTTGATCACACAACTAACAGGGGCATACTGTTTTAATGAGTATGTACTAGTAAATTCACCGTCCTGGTTACTGATCTGCAAGAAAGGAAGCCCTACTCATATCTGCTGGAAAATCTCCACGCACACACAGAGTGACTCATTCTCTCATTCATGAGTATTTCAAATGCATTTAGCTCGGTTATCCCAGTTTTTGTCAATGAAACAGCTTGTGTGAAATATGATTCTTAGTACCTTAGTAACTATTTTTCCCTTTAGGTTTTCTAGTGGTATGTTTTGGCACAGTATAATATATTTCTAATGAAGGAGGTCCTTTCCAATAGCATTTCTTTCTTTTTTTTAAAAAATGATTTATATATTTATTCTGAGAATCAGAGTTAGAGAGCAAGAGAGAGAGAGCGATGTGGCATATCTGGGGGCTCACTCCCCAAATGGGCTCAAAGGCCAGCACTGGGCCAGGCCAAAGCCAGGAGCCAGGAGCCTCATCCCAGACTCTCAACCCTTGGGCCGTTTTCTGCTGCCTTTCTCAGGCCATTAGCAGGGAGCTGGATCAGAAGTGGAACATCCATGACATGAACTATCACGCATAAGGGATGTTGGCATCACAGGCAGTGGTCCTACCTGCAATACCATAGTTTCGGCTCCTCTTTCATCAATGGCTTCTATGAGATATAATTGATAGACCAAGAAATTGCACATAAAATGGAATTTCACATAGCTTTCAGAAGATGGAGTCAAAAATAAACTTATTTTGGTGAAAAACTTCACTGAGGTTCATGCATAGTTTTTTCAAATGTTCATTTTTCACAAACTCTTAGAAGTTTCTGTACATTTACTGCATATAGTTTGATGAGTTTGTTTGACCTTTCAATGGACATGGGAAATTGCTTTAGATAACAATATTCATAGTTTCAGTAGTTGTAAAGTGATGCATATTTCATTTGGGGAGGAGAATATGATACAGTATATTGGTAGATTTCCTTCCTCAGTACACAATGACACAGCATTTGACATAAAGGACTCAAAATTCCCAGGCCTTGATATCTCTTGTACTTTTTTTCATTTACTATCTGGCAGTGCTTCTAAAAATTTCTCATTTTATGCTTCTCAAGAGGCATGGGGCCAGCACTTTGGCTAATCCTCCGCCTGCGGCACCGGCAATCCAGATTCTAGTCCCGGTCGGGGCTCCAGATTCTGTCCCGGTTGCCCCTCTTCCAGTCCAGCTCTCTGCTGTGGCCCGGGAGTGCAGTGGAGGATGGCCCGGGGAGAAGCACCTGGCTCCTGGCTTCAGATTGGCACATCACGCTGGCTGCAACGCGCTGGCCATAGCGGCCACTTGGGGGGTGAACCAACGGAAAAGGAAGACCTATCTCTCTCTCTCTCTCTCCCTCTCTCACTGTCTAACTCTGCCTGTCAAATAAATAAATAAATTTTAATTTTTTTTTAAAAAAGAGGCACATGTTTCTTCTGGACTAGCAATTCATGACAAGGCCACACTCACACAGATCATTATCATTTAAATATCTTGTGATGATGCCTCAGTCAGGAGACCAGGCACAATTTCATTCCTTGTAAAATAGTGACGGTACTCCCAAAGGTTTGGAGGAACTTTTTTTTTTTTTAAGATTTATTTATTTCTCTTGAAAGGCAGAGTTACAGAGAAGGAGAGGCAAAATCAGAGACATTTTTCCATTCACGAGTCTACTCCCCAAATGGCAGGGATGGCTGGAGCTGGGCCAGGCCAAAACCAGGAACCAGGAGCTTCTTCCAGGTCTCCCACATTGGGGGAGGGGCCTAAGGACTTGGGTCATCTTCCATTGCTTTCCCTGGCACATTAGCAGGAAGCTGGATTGGAATTGCAGCAACAGAAACTGAAATCAGCACCCATATGTGATGCCTGCGCTGCAGGCGGCTGCTTAACTCAAGAAACCACAGCTCTGGCCCGG